AGTAGGCCTCTCTTAAACAACTGCCACTCGGTTTCAACATCAGTTGTCATCGCTGGGATCTGTTCAAACCAGTCGTGCGATGCTGTTTGCAAATTTCGCTCTCGTGTCCACCGAAGACAATGTTTCCCATTTGATTCTACGGTTGTTTCTGCCACCGGATCTTCGCATGGTACTCCATTTCTTACAGCGCAGCGTGCCAACAACAAGGTGGTAATCGGTTGATAGCTCTGGCCTCTTTTAACACGAACATGTTCGTGTAATAATTCGTTAACTTCAGACACCTTTCCGCTTTTCAAGTAATTCATAGCTTGTGTAATTTCCTCTACAGAAGCAGTAATATTCGTTCCCTGGTGCTCTACAAGCGAGTCTCCTTGCGGTTGCTCGGTATTAAGGAGTTCCTCAAAGTACTCTTCATTGCCGAAGAATGCCCTTATCCTCAGTAAGGTGTCCAGACCTGTCTACCAGGTATACTTATGCCCCGTTCGATACTCGGTGTTCTTTACATGTTGCCCATTGTTTGCACAAAACCGAAACAACTTCATGCCGATTACTGTTGAAATCACTGGCTAATCTCTCCAGTTACGCCGCTTTCCACTTTTCAGTGCCTGTTCCGACATGCGCACTGAAATGGTCCATTCGAATGAGGGACTCCGTAATCGGCACTTCGTACTCAGCACAATCCACTTTCTCAAGGAAGGATTCATACTCCCTCTAAATTATGGTTGTTTTAGCCTTGAGTAGTTTCAGTAATTTTGTTTTCGTATCCGCAGAAAATAATCTCCCAGCTTTTTGATTTTCTAGCTACTTCTACCATGAGATAGTTGCATGGTACTCCCTTTTTCACAGGTAGCGCGAGAGCAAGATGATAATCGGTTGACAGCTCTGCGCGAGCATCCTAAGTCAGGCGATACAATTATCAAATCGATCATCGACTTCAGTACACAAACTTACCTTTACTAGGTATACTGATGCATTCTTCGATACTAGCAGGTGTTCATAAGAGAGTCCTTTGTCTTCGCAAAACTCAAACTTAATAGCGTAGTTGTTGAGGTTGATAGGGCCACTTTCTAACCACGCCTTGCAACCATGCAGTGTCATTCTGATCCTAAATTCGGCACACAGCTGTACTTTCTTAGGTAGGCGTAGATCAGAAATTGTCACACATTGTCTTTCGCATGTATCTTCGTGATGGTCACACTTCTCGCAAGTTGTTATCTTGGAGCTTATGTTGTGAGGTTATCTGTTACGTTATCGTTTATCTGTTACGACATTACCAATCAGATATGCCATGTTCTTTGAAGCAACATATCTAAATGACCATTACAGCGTGTGATTTTCTGCTTCCTCCAACCCTATACGTGTACTTCACAGAAAGGAAGGGAGACAACAAGAGATTCGGCGTCCCTACCTTCCTACTGCAAATCCAAGGCTGCGTCACCTGGGATAATTGACTCCGTATTTAAGCATTGAACTGATACAGATAAATAACCAACAACATAAATAACTGCATACTACTATGAAATTTCATTGCAAGGCAAGCTTCCAGGTGCGAACATAGTTTGCGAGGCTCATTCGTTGTAAACACAAAAGTCTGGTAAAATTAAGTAATGATACGATGCTATGAAACGAGCGAGTCAGCCAAATCCAGCTGACCGAAATACCGAGCCGACAAACAAATAAACACACTGCATGCGCGAGCGATTTCGCAGTCAGCACATTCGCAGGTGCGTCTTAACTTTCGACACGATCTGGCGAGCTCCCGCAAAGCAGCACACGTGGAATGTTGGAGCGGAACACCGATACAACACATCAGGGCAAACATCCAATGCGCGCGTTCGTATTCATAGCCGCTGTCGATAAATTCAGTTATCAGATATTCAAGCGCTCGATAAACGGATCTTTCCGTAAGTCGAATAACAATGGAAATCAATGGAGGAGTACTGATGAAGCGGTGCAAGATATTTTTGTCTTGTTGCGACAACGAAGCCTATAACAAATAACATCACATGCATTTTTAATGTAACGTTATGACAAACAACATAGCAACAAAATGTTGAAAACACTATCGCTGCAGTCAAGTCATCAAAAGACACAGTCAGAAATGTACCTGGAGAAAACAAACTATTACCATTTGTTGTAAAATGTCATATAAAATAAGATGTTTTGCTGTACTTCTGGTATGACTATTAACGCATGAACAAGTATTCGAATAAACCAACTGACTAACTAGGTCATAAAACTGTACTTTTGGTTTTAAAACTCATTCGAACCTCTTGCAGTGGTAGATATTCTGTTGCTTCAGGAATTCTGCATGTTTGAAATATGGCCACGCAAAGAAAAACAAAATTCTGCTATAGTCGGAACCGATTTCAGTACATGCAATACGGCGATATCCTTTCAAACTTTTCAGATTCGCACTTCTCTTTTACCACAGCAGGCCAACGGTCGATGTTTAGCTTAGCAATACTGGCAGCCCCTATAGCTATCGGGCGGCGTCCAGGATAGAGATGGATGACGTCCGTGATGATAATGATTTGTTTTTGATGACAATCGCAGTTACGTAACTTCTGCATTTT